TCACGGATACGAGTTTTTAACAGGAGAGTTTCGTTGTCAGCGATCTGTATTCCTTCGTACCTTGACCTCGAGACTTCAATAAACTTTGGATCAACGGACCATCGAAGTGTGCCATCGATGCCTTGCATGATTGTGACTCCGGTTATGGGCGTGTCATGATACTTTTGAAACAGATTTTGGTTAATGTGATCCGGGACCGTAAATGCGGGTGGTATAGTTGAAGATCTTCTAACTGATAAGATATTTTTTCCAAAACGAAGTAAACTTCTCAACAAGACAGGTTCTCCCTCATGATTTATAGCAGGAGAATGGTATGGCTCAATTGTTGTTGTGGCTTGCGGACCTGGTTTCTTCTTACTTTTTGAATTCCACCCATGTCCTGGTTCCCAGTCTGAACGATTTCTTTGAAAAGGATTACTTTGTGATTGACCTAAATAAATGAAAAACGATTCAACTGCTGAGAACTTGAGGAATAGAAAAGCAGATCCTCGACGATGCTTAGCTGGTAAACATTATTGCAGTTAAAAAGATGAAACTTGCGCGGCTGTGCCATCGTGTCGTTTAGTCAAAGTACAATCTTTTTATGTCTTTCTTGGCAGCTCTGTTTTGCTTGGATAGGTTGAAGCAGTTTCTTTCACGAATTTCAAAATGAAGGTCCTTTATTCCTAGAAAAGAGCTTCGCAAACATCTGCCCATTGTGTGCAATAATAGGGAATTTACACGATGGCGTCATTTGACTACAACTACCAGAATCCTTCACTTTTTTTGTTTCTTATGCTAATCAGGGCAATTGTTATTTTAAAACCCACTGGGAATTCAAAATTTAAATAATAATGAAAAAACGAGAGGAATTCTGGTAGTTGTAGTCAAATGACGACAACGTGAAAATCTGCTATTCCGAGAAAGCCTTTCAACCACAGCCATCGTAGCTGGATCCCAGTCTCTCTCTCCTTTGCCTCCCTGATAGTCTCTCTCTTCAACGTATCAACGACAAGGGAGGGAAAGGAGACAGCCTGAAATCGCTGTTGCGAAGGCGGTTTCCGAACCGGGAACGCTATGAACGGGTAGTTCGTTTCATTTTCACTTGATATAGTGGCAGCCATATATCGGTGTCCCAAAACAATAAAACGGCGAGCTCTCATATATTATCTACTTTCTTTTTTTCCAATAAATTTGCCAGGCTGCTGGCCACGTGAGTGAAAACGTTCTATAGGTGTCCAAAGAGTGCACACTAAGCAGAGGAATGCAGGGAAAGAGATCTAGAAAAGAGAGTTGTCTGTTTGACGGACTACAAACCTTGGTCTGCATGCTACGCCGAGAAATGGTAAAGAAAAACAACAACTTGCATAATTAGGAGGGCCAGATAGCTGATAATAGAGCAATCGAACAAGTTCGAGGGATGAATAAGTTATTTCTTTTGCTTTGTTTCTCGAAGCCCGGGAGCCATGATAGAATTTTTAATACATAGAAATTGGCCTGTTCGGCAGAAGTTTAGTTCATAACCGAGAAGTGCTATGATTTATTAACTGATAACCTGTTCTCTCTCGAAGTGTCGTATGCATAGCTGAAAATTATCAAATGACTGTTAGCTGACTGCACGAGTTTCCTGTAAGTGTTTCTCTCAAACTGGCCGCTATTTGCTTGTTTTATAGACTATAAGGCCCAGTTCAGACGCCGAACTTTTCATGAGCCAAACCTAATAAGATGAATTAAGTACATGAAAAGTTCGGCGTCTGAATCAGTTAAGAACGGTTATTTGAATTTGGAACGGCTCAACCGTTCTTCCCGCCTAGCTCGGCTGGGAATTTCGGCTTTGGAACGACTTTGATTCAGACGTCGAACTTGTCATGTACCGAACCTAATGGCATAAATTATTTTAACTTTTTATATGGCAAGGTATTCTTGAGGTAAATCCGAGCCTTTTGATTGGTTCTTTCTTTGTCGGGATTTCGCCATACGGACCGTTTCCAAGGAAACAGTCATGAGCTGTGTATTTTTTTGTTTTGTTTTGTTTTCGAAAGCCGGCAAATTCAAATTTGTAACTAAAACTAGGAAAAGAAAACGTGTAAATACTCTCATTCTTCGCAAAGAAACTACCTAAAAGACTGATTTTTAAAAAACTTACAACATGGACGAGGAAGACGAATATTTATCGAGCGAATTTTATTATCCTGAAGATCTGGAAACATCTAATGTAGACACTGAAACAGGTATCAGCGAAAGTCAGGAGGCCATACACCCATTCCATAAATGGCGGAACACTCGGATAACCTGGTCCGAATAACACGAAAACGAGGCTAGTCAGTCCTTGGTTGGTGAGTTTGAATGATAACTCGGTGAGAGTTCTCGTTTGTTTTCGATAATGCCTTCCTTCTGCTACGTGCCTGAATGCAATCAAAAAGGTTACAAGGATGAGAAAAACGAAAAGGTATCATATTTCAATTTTCCCACCGATAAAACTAGACGTAAACAATGGCTGCATGCAATAGGAAGAAATGAGGGAAAGGACTTTCGCGTGACAGAGAAGACAAAAGTGTGTTCTCGACATTTTCGGTCAAGCGATTTGAAAAAGTCGCTAAATGGAAGGAAGGATAATGCGGTCCCTTCAGAGTTAAATGGTGTTCGGAATCACCACGAAAGAGGAAGGCTCCAGCGGTGCGATTTCCTTTACAATCTACCACAAAAACAAAGCCATCGACCAGCGCTGCGACATGTAGTTCATTAGATTCAATGAATGAAAGTGAAACCGTTCAAAAAGCATATGCGGATGAACTAGAGCAAGATGCAGAAGATGCCATGACTGAAAAATTGGAAGAAAAGATACTGTCTGAAGATCTTAAGCAGAAACTTTTAAGCAGGGAAAGAAAGCTTCTCGAGGCCGAAAACCGAATAATTGCATTAGAAAACGAAAACACTCTGCTTCGTGAGAAATTAACGGCAGCGGAGAAAAAACTTGAATGTATGACTAAGCGCGTGCTTGATATAGAAAAAATTAAATGCGACGAAAACATATCTTTCTATACAGGTTTTCCCAAGTATTATACTTTTGTAGCCACTTACGAATTTCTCAACCCAGGCGTTGAAGGGGAAAACATCAGATACTGCTCCTCTTCTAAACACGGTATACCAGATGCGTTCTACGATCAGATGGAAGAAGACGACTTAGAAACAGAGCACCGGAACGACAAACAGGGGAGACTAAGAAAGCTCAAACCTTTTGAGGAATTTGTCATGGTAATGTGCCACCTGCGAAGAGGGTTTGCTTTGCAGCATCTTTCCCAGTTATTTGGAGTTGCAACATCAACAGTCAGCCGAATCTTTACTGCTTGGGTTAACTTTATGTACCTGAAGTTTGCTCAGATAAACATCTGGCCATCTCGTGAGGTTATTACAAAAACTATGCCAGAAGTATTCAAGGACAAGTATCTTTCCTCGCGTGTTATTATAGACTGTACTGAAATAAAATGCGAAATGCCCAGTAGTCTCCTATTAAACATAGAATTATTTAGTTCTTATAAAAACTATACGACACTTAAAGTGTTGATTGGAATCGCACCCAATGGTGCAGTAACCTTTATAAGCCAGTTATATACAGGTAGTATCTTGGATAGAGAAATTGTCATCCGCAGTGGTTTTCTGGCTCAAGAATTCAGTAAAGGAGACTCTGTCATGGCAGACAAGGGGTTTACTATTCAGGATCTTTTGCCCTTGGGAACAAGCCTAAACATCCCTCCATTTCTTGGACAATTTGAGCAGATGAGTCCTGAGAATGTTATAAGAACTCAACAAATTGCCAGTGTACGAATTCACGTTGAACGAGCTATAAACGGGATAAAGAACTACAAAATTTGGAATGGAGTTATTGCTCTAAGTTTGTTTGGACGGGTCAATCAGATGTGGAGTATTTGTTCTTTTTTAGTTTAAGTAATTTACAGGATCCTCTCATCTCTGCCTGATTCATGAAAGTGCAAGTTGAATAAAAGCTGTCCTCTTTACTCTAAATGTATTTATTCTGGTTTTATTCTACCATCTGTACCTCCTTTGTTCTGGTGCCAATACATTATATTGATGTTCTACACCTCAACCATAAC